CTGGAAGGAAGTCGCAATGGCCTTTTCTTTTGCAGGGCTGTCTTCACAGGAGGTTCTGCCGCGCTCGAGTCTCCCCCGATCTTTTGGGCGTCGGTCTCCTGTTCCCGAGGCCGCTTCATCGTTAGCGCGTTGACACTAGCGTCCACCATGTCAACCTCATTCACCGGCGGCACTGCAGTTGCCGTCGTCGACTTATCGCCCGGTGATGCAGCCTTCGTTGTCACACCTCCCTAGCTCCCTGTCGCCGAGTCAGGTTTTGCCGCAAACACAACGGCCGACTGGTTAGCCACGGGCTTCGGCTGTCCACCCGATGCGACTTGGTCAGGTTCCTTTGTAGCCTTTTCCACGGGCACCTCGGCGGACGAACCCACTCCTTCGACCGCCTCTTCCGCGTCTGCCTCGTCCATGTGGTGTTCACTATTGGCCTCTCCTCCTTCAGGACCCGTAGCAGCTGCGTACGTTTTCACGCAATGCTCGGCGTCATGGCCAAACCGGTAGCAGCTGCCGCACTTGGGCACCCGACATTCACGGCGGATGTGGCCCGTCCGTTCACAACGCAAGCAGAGTGGAGCCCTGACCGGCACCACGACGAGTACCATCCCACCAGCGATGCGTATCTGATGAGGCAGCTTGTCTAAACTCAGCCCAGGCTTGAGCCGGATGACAGCGGTGCGAGTCATTGACCCGCAGCCCACAACTCCCTGCACTCTCCACTTTTCGGTCCCTACCTCGCTCACATGTCCGTAGGGCGCAAAAGCCGCCCTTACCTCGTCGTCCGGCACGTGGTGAAGCAGCCAGTGCAGCTTGATTCGAATGTCCCGGTTTCCCGGGTCAATGCTGACGCAGCGATGGCCTTTAACGACGAGGTCTCCCGCCGCAAGGATCTTCCGCTTTCCGTCGAGTGACTTGAAGGTCACGGCCCAGACGTGGTTCATTTGGTATGCCCCCAAGGCGAGAACCTCGGGGAGCAGTCCCAGGTGGTCCAGGGTGTCGCGGAAATCCTCGACGCGGTACGGACGGCCACGAACATCAGCATGAAGAAACGCGGTGTTTAGCAACGTAGGCCCAGTTGGCAGGGGAGGCAAAATTATCTTATATTCCTGACTTGCAGAATCGTTCCTGTCACCGCGGCCCGGCTGGGACGTTATCGCCGCTCCGACGGAGCTCATGATTCGCCGTCCGTACCCAACGAGTGCCGGAAGAAGAATGCACGCAAGGTACGCTTGACGTGTTCTTCTCTTAAAAAAGAAACTTAAGCCTTCTCCAAGTTTTTATTGCCCTCGGAAGGTGGCGACGTAGACCAAACTTATTGGGCAAGGTCCCAGCGTCAGATATCGGTCAAACAACGGCGCTATAATGATGTTGAGCACGCAAATGAACCGGTGACGTCTGACGTCTGATATTATGCTAAGATATTTCTAAGATGGCCGGCTTCATGGAGCTCTAGCGTCGCCTATTACGCCGCGGTCGGTTTTCAAGTTTCGAGCAGATGGCCGACAAGGTATGTTTTTCGTGCAACCGTATGCTGTGCTACGGAGGAGAGTTTGAGGGAAATATTTGCAAATTCGATCGGTCGATCAAGCCGCGTCTTTACAGAACTATCTAATGACGAGCCGCGAATAGGTTCTCGCTTCAACCAAAAAATTACTTATTCGCTCGCAGAAAAGGTAGGACAAGGCTTGAAAACATAAGCGAAATGAACCGCGTCTGCGTATTTGGGGATGGGCATGTCAAGTTACTGCAGAGGAGTATCGTGGTGAAGGAAAATTGTAGCAGAAATATTCCAGAAGCCGGGAGACACAACAACTAAAATATGTACCCCGACTTTACTTACCAGGCCAAACCAACGTTACTAAAACGCTGAGTTGGCAAACTCACCCTTGAAACCTGGACCGCTGGTGTCCACCGAGACCGAGCTAAATACGATTACAGCGCCACCCTTTAGCGACAAGCTGAAATATGAAAGTTGCTTTATATGGCTACTGCTAGAGCCAGAGGACCGAAACTCCCAGGCTCGAAATGCCAAAATGGTGGCTCAATCTTTTTTTCTTTTTTTTTTACTTTGGCCCTTATGAACTTTTAGAAAGCTTGTTTTTGCAGAAAAACAAGCGGAAAAAGCTTTTTTAGTAGGATATTTTATTGTAGATAAGTACAAAAAGCCAAGAGAGTGATGTTTGCACAAACGTTCTGTTTACAGTGTCTTGCGGGACAATGAACCATGTTTTTATACAGCCATGCCTCACCGGTGACTTCAGGTAGCGCGTCCTGACCTGTGTGCGTTAACTTCGATGATTGATCCCGGCGCAGCCAATGGCAGTTCTGAACCCCGTTCTATTGCATACGTTTCGGCGCAAATGTTGCTCATCAGAGCACAATTGAACAGTAACAGCGGACGCTATCGAATGCGATTTGCTCGCTAATGGGAGATGGCGCGAGCAGCCCTTGCGTGACTCGACCTGAAAGGATACGTAGAGCCGTGCAGTTCCCGGAGTGGCCACTGCTGGAGGAATGACGGCGTTGCGATCGTGTTTATTTCGGTTCTTGAGAATTGATCGGAGCCACCTTTTTAATGCAGGCTCCAATGGCAGTTTTCCAACTGAGTGTTCTAGTAAGGTTGGTAGCTACTGATGATGCATTTCGTATGGGAGGCGAAACTTTTACGAATTAATTGCGCCTGTTATGTGAAGTCGATATCCTTCTTTTAATTAGAAAAGAAAACTTGCAAAACTCACGGTCATACAGCTGTTCGTGGAAAGACTCCGTCCTAGGACTACAACCGCGAAACTAAGCGAACCAAGACGAATGTGCTGATAGACGAGAGGTCACGCGCGCGCATCCCTCCTAGCTACTATCTTTTTAAAATTCTGAGTCCGGATGCTGTTGGTTTTATAATATTTTATTGATCATTCTATTTGTTATTATAATTCTCATCAACAATTAGGTTCCATCAACGCATTCCTCAACGAATGCGAGCAACGGTGGGGCGAGCAGCATGGTTGTGATGGTTACCAAACGACAAAAGATCCGGCTGTTTGAAACTGAAATTGTATCGCAATCACGTGATACAACTAGTACAAGAACGCCAATAAATAACTAATCGTTTTTATCACTCCCGGTTAATTGTTCTAAAAATAAATAAAGCTTTATACCTGTTCAATATTTTTAGACCATGACACTTTGTCATGGTTCAGACTATGACAGTCCCATGCTGCCTTAGGGTTACGCATGATCGTCTCAGACCGTTTAAGAAAGCGATATTTAAGCACGGTTTCTAAAACGCAGACGCAATATTTCGCCATAATGCTTAGGAATCAATATCTTTCTGGTTTAATGAAATTAGAGAAACTAAAATCTTGCAGATACATTTTATACCCTGAAGCCTTTAAATTAAAGGGAAAGTGTATAGATATCAAACATCAAAATTGAGGGTAAGCGTGATCTAGTCGATTATTTTATATTTATCTCGAAGAAATTTGTCTCACTGATGGTTGGTAGGCATGATTAAGGTGGTAAGCCGTTCTAAATCGCATATCCGTCTTAATGAGGTGATGCGAATTGCCAATATTTGCCGGCTTGCACCGCCGTGGCTGTATACAAATGTGTTTTCACCGCACTTGAAGTGTCCTGTCGTGCAGTGACGTGACCCCTCGCCATGGCCTTAAATCTCGGCGGCTCCTTCCTTGTTCTGTCTACTTCTTTAAATTAATATCTCGTAGCCCCTTTAAATGTTTTATTCATATTGCCTGCGACAGTTATTCACTACTGCAAGAACAACTCGTCCCTCCGTTGTATGAAGACTCGTCTCCCCTCTTTTATTTCAGCAGCAAATAATACACAAACTAAAAATTACACTTATACTAAAAGTTCAGCGAAGTTGTATTCGCTGCAGGTCGTTCACATTACCGAACATTTCGACAGAATATCACGATCTTGATGCTGAACCAGTGACGCCACGGGACTAGTGATCACGTGTCATCACACGAAACTAGCGATAAACGATGTTGACTTTTTAGTATTCTCACGAATTAGTAGTAAGCCTTAGCAAAAACGACTCTGAAATATTGAGGAAAACAATCTGGTCAATAGCACTTCCACTCCATACTGATCGTTATACCTTATTATTTTTGAAACCTGGTATTAAAAACCAAATAATGAATAAAAAGCGCAAATTACGTTTGATTTGTTTGTCATTCTGCCTAAATAAAAGCGTGAACAGTAGCGCATCTCAATTTCAGGTTCTTAAACATTTTCTTTAATTATAGTTTTTTTCCCTCGTTAATGAAAGCTCAGTCAGATTAACCTACAAAGCAAATTGAGACTGAGGGACACGTATAAAAAAGGATTAACATACACGCTGTCTCAGACGTATCTGAAGGTTCATTAGGGAGTTTTCGTAGACCGCGTTCTCCCCTCCGCTAAGCCCTCCGCAACGAAGAAGACGCTACTGCGCCTGCGCGCCGATAGCCTTGGCTGTAGAAACCCGGATCTCGTAGCGGGTTGCGGGGAGCGTTGCGGGACAGCGGAAACGATCTACGAAAAGTCCCTATTTACTCCACCATACGTTCGGTTTACCAAACATACATTTCTACTCTGACAACTGTTTCGTTTTCTTACATCCACTGTCGTGAAGGCTTGAATAAACGTACCTTAGACATTCCTTTGATAGTTTGTGACATGTTAAGAGTTCAGGGGAAGCTCCTCCCGGCCTTCCACCCCTTTCCACTTTAGCAGAGCAGACGCTGGAGAGGAGGTCGTCTCCTCTCCAGCGTTTGCTCTGCTAAAGTTAAACGAGTTGGGAGGAGAGTCCCCTGAATTCTTAACCTGTCACCAACTATAATAAGGGGAAACCATGGGAAAGATGTATTGCCGAAGTAGTACGTGCATAACACTGAACGCAGTAATTAAATGGGCAAAACATCCACCCATTATCGAGTTATTTTTATCCGTTCAAAGCCGTCTCAGTGTGGATTTTTAAAAAACAGATTACGATGTTTTTTCAGCTACACAATGTATGACGAAGATTTGGATAGTTATTTAGGTGAGTCTTTATTGTCAGAATAATAGAATTGTAAGGTTTCTTAATAAAAGTGTGGATACCTTGTCGAAAATATATGGTGAACATTAATACATGGGGTGTCCGAAATTAACTTTTACAAAGCATTCAAAAAGAAATAAGAAGTATATAAAAATTCAATATTGAACCAAGCTTAAGCTCCTAAGCGGATATGAAGTACAAGAATGATAGTAGTAGCCAATTTATCATTAAGCTCACGTTCATCTTTAATATTTTTAGTTATTGAGTTTATGCTGCCATGTGTCTAGATTGGAAACTTGAAGGCGGCCGTATTTCTTGACTGTTATAGGCTTTATTTTTTTTCGTAACCATCGCGCGCTCCGAGATTCCCCTCTCAAACTTGCAACTCAGTACGGTTATTTATGCGTACAAAACCAGAAATATTGGTTCAAAAGCCCTCCCCAGTGCGTCCCAGGTAGGTCATTGCGGATGACATTTCCTTAGGGAACAAAGCGAAGCCGATTAGTTATTTTCCAGTGAAGGTCTAAATAAAAACTTATTTGCTTCGCCCCGTTGTCATTAGAGTGTCATACATGACCTGCGTCACCCTGGGAGCGCCTTCGTGGTAACCCCCGCTGTTTTACTTGCGTAATTAGCCGAACTGAGTGGCCGGCTCGGAAAAGCAGATTTCGAAACCCGTTCTGTCTGTCTATGCTAGATCGCAAACTCAACGATGAAGTTAACTCAATCGGTCGCTGATTGGCTGCCGTTTTGGTCACGTGATGTGACGTTGCGATTGAGTTTTTCCCTACGGATTCCGATGGAGTTCGAGCTATGCTGGTGAAATAATGAAGTTCGCGGTGACGTCAAAATGTCGTCACGATTGAGTTTGGCGATGGAGATAACTTTGTAGTAGTCGGGCAGCAAAAGTTGCCAAAGTCAATGAAGATGGCGACGTTCAAGCTCGCGGACGGGGCGGACCAAAGCGGACTATCGCTACGTTTTTATGTGTTCGCCGTTCAAGGTTCGTCAGGGACGTAATCGGGGAATACTGCCCGACACTCGCTGGTGCTGACATTTGCCGTTGAAGCTTTGCCGGCGTCGCGAGGGGCCCCATATGGTGACCGCCGTGCAGCAAATGCTCTCTTTGAGCGTTGCTGGCGGCACATTTTGCTGCGACGCCGTGTGTCGGTGTGCTGCGAGTCGCATTCTTTGGATGCTACAGAGGCGATAATCGATAACCCGGGGCTGAAGGTGGGTGGGCTTCGCGCGCCAAGCGAAGACGGAAAGACGATGACCAAGAAGTTCAGCGATGCGAATTCAGTGGTGTTGTCGGTAAGTGCTCAATACACATTTTCTCAATGCGCTTGCACGAGAGCTCTCGGTAGAAAACGGGTGCTTCGTTCACCGTGATGAGTGTCGTGTGAGATAGTCGCACGGATTCAAGCTTACTCGTGATTGCATGTGTATCATCCAAATGTCTCGGGCCTCGTGATTGCATGTGTATCATCCAAATGTCTTGGGCCTCAACATCTGGAAATTGTTCTGCTGCAGCACGTTGTGTACGTTTTCATTTTACGATTGCAGGTTCAAACTGGTACAGTATCTTGTTCTTTGCTTGTGTTGTCTGAAACGTTTCTGCTGCTTTCTGCCACACCGGGTAGGGCGCCTCGTCAAGCTGCAAGCCATGCAGCTTGACGTTTGACATTATATGTCCCATCTCCCACCTTTGTACGTAAAGGAAAATAAAGAGATTATTAACTCAATTGACACCTCTTTGCTCTGAAGGCATAATTTTGGGTATTGTGCAAGACAAGTGGAATATCTCCACTTTTCTTTTCAACTTTTTTATTATTACATTTTCAGCCTTTTTGGGATGCTATGCAACTACTATCTCCAAGTAGAGGCTGCATTAGCATATAGAATTTCTATCTAGTCTTGATGTGCTTTTGGACAACTGAAAAGGTTATGGAACATTCATGTCAGACACCGCCTCACTGTTGTGTGCAGGTGACAGCGACAAAACCCTGAAGCCATGCTTGCACACCAATTCCTCGCAACCCCAATGGATGCTCTGCTGTTCTGAGTCCAAGCTTAACAAAAAGCATTGCTTAGGATTCTGTCGTAGAGCAGTGAATAGGATGCTGAAAAGCAGGTTCCGGTGGTTGTAAAGGTGCTAGGCACAGCAACATCATTTGACTTTCTGCACAATGCGGGCTTGTATAGCTCTATTTTGAGCCTCTCCCTTGAGCCCCAAGAGTCCGACCACGAGGACGGTGTAAGCTTTGACAGCAGAGGACACGCTGTGCAGTGCTGAGAATCTGAGAGGTGGCCACCTCTGCAAGTATGTGCTGCCTACCAGGGTCTCCCTGCTCAAACTTGAAGCCTGGCAGCTGTTGAGGTTACTACGAGCTTTGTCTCTTGTCACATCTGCGAAATATACTTGTGTGTATCTGCTTGCAATGTTTTGTCATACTTTGTAACTTGCCAAATCAAGTAGACACGGTAAGTCCCTTTGGGCTGCAGGGCGGTGTACCTAAAAGACAGTTCAAGCAGAGTTTTGGTATGGCACCTAAAAATGGAAGTTTGTAATAAGTTGATGTTTCTGAAAAAGCTTTTTAACACAATGTTTTTGGCAGGGTAACCTTGCAAAAATGCAAACCGCATAAGCGAAACGTCGAGGCATTAGAATAGAGAATAAAAGAGGGCCTCCTCATGGGTGGCATCTTGTTTCCCATTGACTGCATAAGCATTCTGGTTCCAACAGTATATTGTTCCAAGTATAGAAAAAGAAAAGGTGAAGAATTAACTGTGGTTGCTGGTATCTGGACGATTGAACTTGCACCACCGTGTCACCGTTAATTGTGAAATTTCTGGTTCCCTGTATATGAAATATACATCGACATCTGAAGTCGAGATATGAGTCCCGGCACATAAACAATTGCACCGAGATTTCCTGACCCAAAATTTGTATTCGATGTATGACAATTTTGTCGGGTATGACCAAGGTAGTGCTGCAAACCTTTTTTTCCATGCTATACTGAAATCATGACAGACGCAAAAGGGTGCCTAGGGAGCATGTTTTATTGTGCATGGAAATTCTGCACCCCCACAAGGGGCAGCTCGAGTGTGGTCAGTGAAGACGACTGCTGGCTATCTGCAGCTGCTTGTCCCTCCACAGCCTGCAAACAAAGTACACGAAAAGGGTGAATGTTTATAAAAACAAGCATTTTTAAAGACTATGTTACAGAAATTGCATAGAACAAGAGAATCCCAGGGGTGTGATGAGCAGCAACCACTGCTTTTATCTTCTTTTAGAACTCTTATGCAGTGCTGGAAATATCAAGAATGCGAGACTCCTGAAAGACATTTTGTTTATGCGGGCACCTTCCTAACCAAGGAACTGCTCAGACCAGCAAGCTCATGCTGTGGGTCTTCCAGTACAACACGCAACCTATGAAGCAAGCAGCCTTGAGCAATGTGCACCTAGCATGATCCAATTACTTTGCAGCAGACAGGCCTGCTCTGTCCATCACATAAAAAATGGAAAGCGAAAAGTTGGAAATCACTCACTTCGAAACACAACACAAGGTCCGAAAATGAAAAGGAGCAAAAACAGAAGAGTCCTGCATTCACTTTCCTTTATGCTATAACTGTCTGTCATAACTGATTCCCAATGACAAGTTAACTGTTGTTCTCGTCAATGTTTTTGGTGCTGTGGAAGTCCAGCTCTTCCGCATTGCACTGAGCAAAAAACAAAGACTGTGAGCCCAAGCTGCTCTGGGTGTAACTCAATAAAGCAAGGACGGAGAAACTTGGCCTGGAATAATTCATTAGTGCCATATGACACAGGTTTTCTTTCGACGGTTCTCCAAACAATGCTTGCCAGCCAATTTTAGACCTTGACTGCATTTCTCTACATCTAGGGCACTCGTGCTGTAATGTTGGGTGCCCAGCAGCATGTGCAATGCAACCAGCTGCTCCCGCTGAGTGGGCGAGAGGTCCTAAACAGTGCAGCTGGGGGCAGTTCAGGCCCTCACCATCCAGGGTGGGAGTGTACAGCTGCAGCTGAAAAAGATTAGCACAAGTGACCAATGACCGGAGTAGCAAAATTGCGACAGGCAGCGCTATTGTTCCCGAGCGCGCCGATAGCAAGTGCCAGTCATGTTCCATGTCTCAACGTTGGTGGCTGCCAGAAAATTGAGGGATAAGATATCTTTCGGAATGCAAGCTTTAGGATGGGCTGCTTTGTGCCGGCCACCACCGTGTGTCGCGATTTTGCTGCTCCGGTCGTTGGTCGCTTGCGCTTATCTTTTTCCGCTGCAGCTCTGCCTGATGACTGGTGCACAGCTGACACGACACAGTTTCAGTAGCATGCATACATGGTTTGCAGGTAATGTCATGTCAGTATAAAAGACAAGACCTTTGAGTACTTCCAAGGGCACCGTGTTGGTGACCACCACTTGGTACATGTCAGATGTGGTTAATGGCAGAGGCTGCTCATATTGCCATGCACGTCTCCGAGCAAGCTTGCCCGTGGCCGAATGGTTATTGTGCTTAGCTTGCACACAAAGGGCTGAGGTATGATGCCTGGCCGCACATGCACCTTTTTGTTATTTCTGTAAATGTTGCATTCTGGTTTAATTCAAGAATCCCATTGCTTGTTCAAAGTCAGAATGTTCTACGCACCAAACTTTCTATGCCGATTGTTCCAGAAGTCCACGCATATACATGAGGGGTACTGCGTGGCGATACAGAGAGTCTCGCTCTTGTGCTCAATCGTGCTACTCCGCCGACCTTCGATGCCTGTGATGCTACCTCTTTGTATTTTTGTTTTCGGTACAAGTTTGCCAAATTAAACATTTAGTTTCTGTTCATTCGTCACCTGACCATCTGTCATTCGCGAAATTTTGGTGGATGTGCGGGACATTAACAAAAAGGTGCATGCGCGGCCAGAAATCAAACCTTGGCCCTTTGTGTGCGAACCAAGTACGAGAACCATTCGGCCACGGGCGCGCTTGCTCGGAGACGTACGGGGAAATATGTGCTAGTGCAGGCACTTGGGCTAAGCCTAGGCAGAAGTTTAATCCGTCAAGTGATGATGACAAAGTTTGTCCAGTTCAGTACGCAGAAAATATTGCTCTGTGTGGTGGCGAGAACCATCTGCTACTTACTCTCAACTGTGACAGATTGTGATATCTAGCCAGAGGTGGAGGACGTGAATACCCGAGTGCAAAAAATGAAGAGAAGTATGCAAAACTGCACGCCGATGATTTTGCCGAGTTCGACAGGCAATGCCCAGCCAGGCGCGTCCTGCTTCCACAGCCCTTTGCAGCAAATACTTTTAGAAGTGGACTTTTTATATAAATAGCAGACACCGGTTTTGGAATTGGTGAGCCAGTTTTGTCTTAGTGTCATTGCCTTGTCAATTTGAGGGCAGTGGGTCGATGTGCTGCCGGGAATGTTCGGTGGAAGCAGGTTGCTGTTGGGAAACGGGACCGGAGGCACCGTCTTTTTCCTGACACAGTCTCATTAATTGGATCTGTGTCTCGACCGACACAAAACTCAAGTAACCATGTGTGGATTGTCTCTGCACCATGTGTACACTTAAGTTTTTGCAAGTCTTGCTGAGGTGTCACCTTGCTAGAAACATCACGGTTGGACCTACAGTTGCCTTGGGAGCTACCGACCAGGCACAATATGTTAATGACAGCATCTTCTACATAGTTATGCACAGTGCAGGTCATGTTCACATTTTTGTGAAATTGCTGAGATGGGTACAAAAGCTGTCACTTTGGGCCACTGGAGCCAGCACAATTCACCATGATCACAGTGTAGCAAAGCTGCAACCCCACAACATCAATGGCCACCAGCATGAGGCTGCCGACGGCACTCATGCATAATACATGTCCTGACACAGGCGCAAACCACGTATTATGGAGATGAATCCAGACTGTTTTTTATACCTACCATTTGGTGGTGGTGGAGCTGCCATCTGTGCTGGGTCCTCACTAGCACCTTTGGCCACAGCAGACGAGTCCTGCATCATCCAATCAAACACAAGTTAACACACAACAAATTGGCAGCCTTTCTGGTTCCGCATTGATGTAATGCCCAATTGCCTACACTTTAGAATTCAGGTATCGGAGTGCCTCATGCACAGCTCTAGAGAAATTAACTCGTCAGCTTGAGCGCTACGATCCGAGCTTTCAAAGAAACATCACGAGGCAGCACACTCGTGCAAAGTCAATAAGACCAAAAACAACACAGTGTCTGTTTACTACAAGTAGCAAGTTTTAGGAGACCGTTACCGTGTTCTGCGGTGGCCGCGGTACGGCTGGTAAGGCTTTAAGCGCGCTGAAAAGCATGCCTCAAAGTTACACCGCGAGCTCCCAGTAGCAATTTCGCTGCGCACGGCAACGGTACGCTAAAACCGCCCATTGAGATGCCATGCACTTACTTACCGACACTGCAGCCGAGATGCCGAGTGGCGACGGACGAGGCGCGTCCGCCCTCGAAATCATGCGCCTTCTTCCGTGTCTTAGCGAGGAACCTTTCTCATATGGGCCAAGATTCTGTCCTACTCCTCGAGTTCAGCGAGGACACCTGGTTCACGTCCCCCACCAGACTGCCGAGTGGTAATCGCGACGTGAAAAAGCCCGACTTGACAGCAAAACTTCCAAAAGTGAGGCAAATCTTCGTACAGACACACGAGCACTTTTCGTGCGACATCCACCGTCGGCCATGACGATTCATCACGATCGCGATGCAGCTCACGCATTGCGATCATCTAAATTGTTTCACTTACGTAAAAAGACATGATTCATGCGACCTAGACTTGACACCGGTAATTATATTTAGATTGTACTGCATTATACATTTTCAGAAGTTAAAAATGATGCTTTTACAAGACCCTTCGATGCGGCCTTGCGCATTTCCCTCTAGGGACATATTTTGGGGACAAATCCCGATGAAGTTTCAACTCAATCGCCACTCTCCGTCGACGTCATCAACGCGCCGCGATGAAGTTCCCTGCCAGTTGAGTTCGCCGCCGATTGAGATTAGGCTCCTCCCACCAGCGACGTCACGATGAAGTTTCTTCATCGCTTTTTCCAGCATAGACAGACTGGTTACCAAGACTCTACGAAATGTAACATACAATACGGCCACCTTGAAGTTTCCAACATTAACGCAGGCTATTAATGCATTACTTAAAAAGTTTGTTAAGGAATTCTAGTAGCTTAGAAAATGCACGGCTACGATAATTTTAACAATTAGTGTGTGCGCGGAAGTAACCTAGGCGTAAGGAAAAGAAGTTAGCGTACCTCGTTTAGTTTGTTTCTCGTATTAATAAACTTTCTATTGGAAAATCTGTAAGAATAGTGATAACCTTGTTTTAAAATGCTACTCCTTTTATAATTGTGAGGTATACTGAAGGTACCTGCCTCCCCCCCCCCCCCCCCTCCACACCAAGGACCCACTCGGAGCGCGTGTGCGAGACGGTGGCTAGAGGGGAGGTGTCACACGTTGTGGCCAGATTTGCATCACTTCGAGTGGAAAGGAACTCGATAATACAACCAAACTGAGCAGACGTAATCTATTATATTGTAGCAAGATAGAATAGCCCAAAGCGCGAGCAGTGCCACCGCCATCCGCCGTCTCGGCCAAGCGATTTCAGTGCGTTTTCATATTGGTGAGGACTGTACAACGTACGAACAGAGAAGAGCTGCCATAGCACAAGATAACAATCATTCGAATATAATTTGTGTTTTAATAATAATAATAATAATAATAATATATTTATTTCACACAAATTGGAATTCATGTACTAGATACGGGCATATCAAAGCCTGCAGAGGGCTTGTATGATGACGCCCATAAAAAAATTCAAAAGACGATTATCATGATTCCACAATGTAAGACAGAAAGTCGAACTATAAAACACAAAAAAAAGCATGAAGAAGAAGAAAAAAAAAGCGAATAGCGTTAAAAGAAAAAAAAAAGCACGGAAGAAGAAGAAAAAAGCACTAAGAAAAAAAAACCACGAAAAGTGTTAAGCGAAATAATAATATTAATAATAATAATAAATAATAGATTTTTATTTCCATCCCAAATTGATGGCGGTGTGTTTATGTTTATATTCAAGCGTATATAAAACACAAAACCTTATGCGAAAGTATGGTGCCATTTCTCCTAACATACATTCCGAACAAAGTTAATAACACCGGAGAGTTTTTGAGTGAACTTATTAAAAAAAGGTAAGTAACCCTCCTTTGTCCTTCAAAGTTTCAGCCGCCGCATTCATCAATTTAAGCCGGTTATTACCCGTCTAGGGTTGTTTCAAGACTTCTATTTATCAGATCCCAGTGTTGGTATTTTTCAGTAAAACAGGAAAATAATGCTTCGTGACCGTACTGAAAAAAAAAAGTGTTTATACGGGTTGACCACTTCAAATCATACGATGTTATCGGCATACAAAAGCTATATTCAAACTGGTTTAATTGTATCAATACAAGTTTTTCAGAATTCAGGCAGGAGCCTATACACGATCAGGTTTGCCTGTTCAAAAGTTGGCCTAAGCTATCCAGGTGAAACCGATTAGAGCAGTATTCTACAATCGACGAGGAAGAGATTGAGTCTATCAACATTACAGTGTGCAACGAAAACCAAAACTCTAAAGTATTAAAAATTAGCTTTAATATTTTTCATTTTATGTATCGTAAAGGTACAGCACGACAAATTATTCCTAATCCTTGCCTCCTCCGAGTTCGTCTGACGTATTTTGTAAAATAGGGCCACGCCTTTCTTGTCATAGTCTTTGTTATGCCGCAACACATTGAAACAAGTGATCAATATTCCGATAACTTTTCAACATGGTTCCTCATCTTTAACGCAAATTCTAGCTTTCCGAAGCACCTAAGCATAAGATTTCTCGTGGATCTAGTTATAAAATTTGCGAAAATTGTTGCACTCTCACAAACATATCAGATCTCCTCGTTAGAGTTCTAGAACCTCTGAAGATGGCATGACCACAGCAAAGGGGTAGAGAGATATTCGCATAAATATATATCGAAGCACGTGTTTTACTTTGTTTGAAAATTTCCGTCCAGTCGGCAGAGCCAAACGACCGATAACAAACATTATATCTGAAAATCAAGGACAAAACGATTTGTCTATTTATTAAAAGTACTTATAAAAAACGTGGTAAAATTTTACACAGGTATATACTCTAGAAACTCACAAAAGTAACAGTAATAAACCTATCTTAGTTTACCACATTTTCATCCAGTTTTTGTCGTAGCCCACTAGTGAGGAAACTCGTTCGGTCGAGCCAGCCATTCTAAAAACACAGAAATAGCAGATCAAGACATGAAACTGATTTGCGGTCAAATATACTCTTGTTAGAATACGATTCACCCAATTAACATTTTTCAAAGGTTTAATGTTTATAGACTTGCATAAATACAAATATATGTGCGCCAAAATAAAACAACTATTTTTTACGTCGTCTGGGAATTCTGGGAAGCCTAACCCGCTACCGTATTGCGTTACTTTGGGGCAGTCTTGAGATTTCTCTTGGAGGGTACAATCGTTCTTTCGGGTGTACCGAATATATATGTCCTTTTTCTGTTTTTTTTTTTGTTTTTTTAACTCGTGTATTTTTGGATTTTCAAGAGCGGATGAAAATGTACATTCAATGTGAGATATTCTTGAATTAAATGCCGGGTAAAATTTTGAAATTCTGGGCCGGCGTGTCCGTATGACATACCGGCCTCGCGGCACAGCCCACCGGTGCGTTGCTAAAGGCCACCGGTAGTGATATGGTCACCTCAATGAAGATAACAATATCGGTGCGATATACTGCCGTTTTTCTTCATTATTGTCACGGCGTTAACCCTATCCCTTTACCAGCGACCAGTACACATGTGGGCGGCTGGCATCTGAAACCGAATGACCCGTACTCGTGTACCGGTAACCGGTCTACGCATAGGGGTAGCCGGTACGGTGATACCGGCGGCCGGTACAAACCTCTGTAGACCAGTATAAAATTGTACAACTGTTTTCAGTAGGCGATATGAGGTTCACTTACCATAAACATCAGAAACCTGTCTCTCTATAAGAAATATTGAAAGACATAAAATAAATTTTACTCTTCACAGTTCAATATATGTTGGTGGCTTCTGGTAACCGCACGATAATCAATATTTATACTATGAAATATTTTCACTAACTGAAAACCTATTGCAAAATGTTTCTTTATTTGTCGCTTCTCTAAATAAAATTATATCTAACGGCCTATATTGCTTATTTTGTAATCAAACAAAAGATCGCATGGCTTATCACCAAGAAGAATCATTTCTTCTCAACGTCGCAAAATAAATTTAAATTGTGTTATATGAGGACCTGCCGAATGGGTTTCATTTTTTGCATCGAGAAAGGGAATATGTACTTGACACTGTGACTATTATTACCGCCCAGTGATCAGCCGAACTTCATTGTGGTAGACATATGCCATAATACATTGCGTTTACGATCTTGATGTGAACGCTGAGTTTACTTCAAACCTTCCTACTGAGAACAGAGGTTGTAACGCAGGTCAAGTAACTGCAACACGGGAATATTTATACAATTTAATTTTAATGGTCGTTCCAAAAACAACTTCTTATCAAATGTGTGATAATCTAAGTTTCCACCGCCCAACTTCATCAGCTACAAAGACATAGAACAAATGCACATACGCATTGTTCCGCTTGTCTGCACGCTGCTGACACATGGATATGCAATCATTGGTACTTTACGCGTTATAATAAAAACGACTGCTTGCTTTGCACCTGGAGTTGATGCTACCCAACTGAATCCGGATACAATATTCATATATACTTTTCAAAGTCAGTGTGATAAATCCAGGAGATATTAAACTCGTGATCCGTTTTTATTATGCTTAGAGTTTATAAATTCGTTCCTACAACTACAAAAATACATCCAAGAATGCCTAACATTGAAAGAGATCACAACATAAAAAACAACGCTTACGTGTTGCTTTCAAACTGTTAAATTGAAAACAAATTTGTTTGTTAATAAGTTATAAAAGGAGGCAAATCACAAAGCAGCCTTCACGGCTGCGAAAAAAAAAACATGGTTGCAGATTTTCATTCTGTAGGCAGGTTTCAATACAAGCAGAGATACCCCAATTTTAATGGTAAACTCTCGGTGTGAGCGTGCATGTAAGTAAGATGTCGGTTTTCATAAAACTATATTCATGTGATCGACGAGTAAACTAATCATCAAAACTTCCCTGGGGCCTGCCAGATGTGCTTAGTTGATTTGCTAGGTGGTTTGAACAAAATTTAAAATGTATTTAAATATGAATATCTGCCCATACATTTAAATTAATACACCACGGCTTAGAGCAATATTAGCTTCAGTTGTAAAGCACTAGAAAGGTGATGTACTTATTAATAGAGATTTGGTATCAATCAAGTGTGTTTCAACAGAACTGAATTTATTTTCTAGCATTACGTCGAAGAAAGTTAAATTGGAGCAGAGTGACTTTAGGTAAGAGGATGATTCAATGCTTTTGAAAGTATCTATTTTTGCTTTAAACAACTTTGGCCTATGTAAAACTTTACATTTAAAAAGTACACAGTTTACGCGAAGACTCGCGCCTCCCTTTACCCTCTCTATTGTAGAAAAAAAGTTTAGCCGTAGCGGATTTATATCTGCAATTGATCAATCAGTTTAGAACAGGACCAAACATGCCCTTCAACAAAGTCCTCTGCTGAAAATTGTACAAAAAAGCAATGTATAAATTCTTGCTACAGTTAGAGCTTACTTGTTTTTTTAGGTTTAAATACAAGAATGATTGTTGCTCTACTTTAAAACGTTTGGCTAGTCATCACATTAGAACCCATATGTTATAATATTTTGAACTTTTAAATTTTTATCACTGACAAGCCTAGGTGAAATTAGAAAAACTCATTGGTTGGCGCAACCTTGGCACTCTTAGGGGTCTAAACTGGGTCTAATACGGCTTTGCTCCTGGGCATTCCTTAGTACCAGAGTACTCTTCTTTGGCGTTTCTATGGATTATGTTTGGCTCTCCACATGATTGCCGAAGTGCCAGACTTGGACCAAAGGTGCCATGTAAGAATTGAGGAACATGCAGTGAAGCCTAAATCGGGCACTTGTTGGGCAATTTAGGCACGAAATTGCCACATGAAAACCGAACAACCAAAAGTGAAGCCCAACTTTGATATTTGTTAGGTGATTGAGGCCCAAAGATGCCTAATCACAGCTAAACTACCAGCAGTGAAACCTAACATTGACACTTGTTTCGCGAATTAGGGCGAGCATACCCAGACTGGCCAAGAAAGGTCAATTTTGGCTTTCCCTTGGATCTTTTGGCGCGTTTTAATGCCATAAATTTCCGGACAAAAACCTCATCTGACCCAAAGGGCTGTGCTATCGGAGGCTGTTTATACATGCAGGTCTTACGAGTATAGAAAAAAGCAAGAACAGTATGGGTTACACTAATATTTCGACTCCGGAGATTCAGTTCTTTTTTCAAACAGCGTCCCATCTGTGAGCTGTAGAAGAACAATTCGAACTGCCAAACTGAGCTATTCACCTCGTACGACGCTCACCTTATTTGATGAAGAATTGCAACCTGCGGTATAGAGACATGCCATCGTAATTTTTACCCTCTTGCATGAGCTTTTGGTTAACGTGCTGTTCATTATAGATGAATTTATGCCTGTGCAGGTATTCCCTCTAGTGCGTTTTCTTTTATATTTACTATAACAATTTGATATTTCATATTACGTGTCTTCACTGCTCTTTTTCATTTCAGAAAGTGCAGGCAAAATAAGAAAGCTCAAAAGACTCAGCAAAAACATCAAAGCGCCGTTTGAATTAAGAAATGTAAATTAAACAATACTTAAACTCGTTTGTGAAAAAGCTTGCAATTAAATAGTTTTTATAATTGCTACCTTCGTTCTCACTTTGACACCCCTTACGCATACAAAGTCGTTCAATACAAACGGTTTTGAAAATCTCTGCTAAATATCTTGGTATGTCTTAATAACAGCACTGCCTTGCTTCAGAGCGTATTTGTGTTATGTGGTATAGGCGATGAAACACCTGGTACATTAATTTAATAAAGACCCCTATGGGGTGTTTTCCTCTAAACTCATGCACAAGTTTAGGGTCGAATTTCTAATTAAAAAACGTTTAGGATAATTCTTTAAATAAACGCCAGCCCAAACAGCAAGAGTGGTGCATTTTTAGTCTTCCAGGTATTGAACATTGAAGAGGTCGAGGAGAAAATTGACGTTTCTTCCACCTGTCGGGGATTGCAGGCTTGACCGCTGACTATTTTGCCAATTCTCGCTCTACTGCACTACAACTCATCTGTTACACTCAAAATAAATTTCACTATGGTCAAGCTATTATTTTAACTTGTAGTCTAAAATTGTTTTTTTTTAATGTCGAGCTATCTCGCTTTCATTACTTTTAGCAAGTTGCATGTGTGACGCCTCTAGGTGTTACGTCATCTTCGTATTTATGGGTTGTAGAATGCCAGTTTAAATTGAGAAACCTTGTCAAATTAACTTGTGTCACTTTGGGAATCAGCATAAAATTAGAAAAAATGGAAAGAAAACTTTGGAAAAATTAGAACGTAGACTTATATAAATGAAGAGGAAAAGCTATTTACATGAAACAGGAGTGACTCTCATAGTTAGGGAATATCGGGTCTCGGGAGTTCAATGTAGGTGACTGACTTAGTTCTCGTCTGCACCACTCAAGGCCGGCCGACTTCCTTCCGTCTTTACCCGTTGTTGCGAATAATCGGGATCAATGCCGATGGGAACCTTTCGAAGCTCCAGGGTTAGAGATGGTATCTGTCCTGACTCCTTAAAGGTTGCCTTCTACCGCTCCGCCCAACAGGCCTATTTTTATCTGACAGTTCTTCCTTGTCTTCTATCTTATTTTCTTCTTCAGTGGCACCGTTCTCACGCACAACACACAGCTTTGACAAAAACATAAAAAAATCAAATGAAACAAAGCTTTGTCACACACGATCAACCAAAAAAAAAATTTCTTCTTGTCAAATCGTCAAATTTTCTTTACTTTTCCCGAAACAACAATCTCCCTTGTCTTTTCAGTTGAGCACTTAAATATTCAGTTAGGTACAGTACAAAACAAACTTTCACACAAGGAACTCAACACTATATACGCATATTTTATTAAAAAAAGGCAGCTTAATACACCCACGAAAAAAATATCTGATAGTGTAAGAGAGCTATGTTCACACAGGTCCACGACTGCGGAGGGCTTAAGAATGGGACATCAAAGAAGATTCCTGGGTCGCCATTGGCAGCTCCTCCACGAGTTCAACTGAAGATATTGAGGGCATTCTTTCCTGCACACTGATCGCCATTCTTCGAGTCATCTCGAGCTCTTCTAAAAACCCCAGCGCAATCAGTTCCTCATTTGGATACTTGACAGTTGGCATTTGGTGCTCGGCAGATTCTCGTGGAGCCAACTGGGGCGTTCTGAATGAGAAAGAGCCTCCCTCGTCCTCAGGGTGATTGTAATGGTTGTCCGCAAACTTCAGGATTTGCGTTTTGCCTGCCGTTATTTTTCTCATCCTGTTCACAAACAGAACTTTCCGCTCCCCAATGCGGGCATTCCTGACACGACACGTAGCGTCATTTAACTTTTCAATCACGTGGTACGGGCTTTCCCACTTTGGAAACACCTTCTTTGAGATTCCTCGTTCAACGGCCATTACTTCAATGTACACGAGATCGCCTACGTTGTCAATTGGTCCTCAGGAATTTCGATCATACAGATAATTTCAGTGTCTAGCAAACTTTTGCTAGTTTCTCTCGTGCTGTTTCATGAGCCATTTTAAGTTTGTGACGTAATTCTTTGGTATAATTGTGCGGTGTATCGTTATTGACGGGTGGTGTGTTTCATATAAGATGTCCGGTAAATCAGCGTCACATTCGTATAATAAGTAGAAAGGCGTCTCAAGTCTACTTTCCTGTTTAGCTCTACTTGCAAACATACAATGTGACATTCATTGGTCACTGCATTTCTGGCCCGCACACACATAGTCGGATAGCATTGAGACGAAAGTCTAATTAAGACGCTGTTTTACTCTATCACACTATGGATGATGGGCTGTTGTTTAGAGTGTCCTTATCCTAAGCAGATCGCCAACATTCAGGAACAATATTGATATACAATTAGTGCTTTGATCTGTAGAGATTTTCGGAGGCACTCCTTGGCGAAGAATTACGAGTTCTACTAAGGTTTTATCTACACATTCAGCTTTCTGGTGTGGCATTGCGACGACGTTTGCATAATTGGCAAGATCTAAAAATCCCAGAACACAGTGATTTCCTTCCGCCGTAGTTAGAAACGCCCCACAATATTCATTGCTGCCCTTTGACATGGTTGTGAAACCTCTTCAAATGCTTGCAGAGGTGCTCGCCTCCTATTGTGTGACGATTTATGACGCATATACGACAGACATTGGGCACAGTAGCTCGGTATCTTTTTTCGAATTCCGTCTCAAAAGTTCTTTTCTCGAACCCTTTCACTTGTTTCGCCCGTCCCTTGGTGTCTAGAGCAAGGTTTTTTCATGATGTAGTTGTATCGGATAACTTTTAAGCGATGCAGGGACAACACTTCGGTTATTCCCAAGACGCTCTTGCTTCAACGCAGTCTGTTCTCTCCGACAAAGATGGCCTCGAGAGTCGATGACATAGCATCCCGATGTCTTATGAGGTTGCTCTTCGCACTTAGTGATGAGCGTGATTAACTTTCTATGCACAAATAAAACCATCGCCATTAAACATTTTGTGGTTCAGATTGAGTGACTTCACTTACTACATCTCTGGTTAATAAGTCAGCGTTCTGATCGTTTTTTCCGCCTCATGTTCCACTTTAAAGTTATGCTCTTGCAGTAGCAAGTTGAACGCGGTAAACGAGAATTGGGGTCACGGGCGTTCATCAGCCATTTGGTGCACGGCAGTTGGTTATAACCTAGAACTTTCTTTCGTACAAGTAACACCGGAAATGCTTAACTGCCCTGACTACCGCGAAAACATTCTTCTTCCGTTTTAGCATATTTTATGTTCTGCCAGATTCAAGTTCCTGCTGGCATATGCCCAATAGGGTGCTCGTTTTCCTCGAACTCCATAGCCAACACTGCTCCCAGTGCACTCTAAGAAGCGTCCGTTATCAGAATGAACGCCTTAGAAAAGTCCGGTAAGCTCAACAAAGGATCCTGTGTCAGTCCATGTTTCAGAATATCAACTGCCGCTTCAGCTTCTATGCTCCAGCTGAAAGTGACCTTCTTTGACGTGAGTGCAGTCTTCTAGAGTGCCCATTTTGCATTGTGACGTATAGGGAGAAACAAAAGAAGATTGGCATCTTTCTAAGAACTCCGATATTCAGCATTCGCGAGAGGAAGAATAAACGTCGGTCCTAGATCTTCTTGCAAAGTGCAAGAGCGTGTGTGTTCCTTAAATCAACTAAACCTTGGAC